TCTATAGTCCAGACTATAAATCAGTCTATAGTCCAGACCATAGTTCAGACTATAGATCAATCTATAGTCCTCCAGACTACAGATCAGTCTATAGTCTAGACTATAGATCAGTCTATAGTCTTTACTATAGATCAGTCTATAATCCAGACTATTGATCAGTCTATAGTCCAGACTATAGATCAGTTCATAGTCCAGACTATATATCAGTTTATAGTCCAGCCTATAGATCAGTCTATAGTCCAAACTACAGATCAGTCTATAGTCCAGACTATAGATCAGCCTATAGTCCAGACTATTGGTCAGTCTATAGTCCAGACTATTGATCAGTCTATAGTCCAGACTATAGATCAGTCTATAGTCCAGACTATAGATCAGTCTATAGTCCAGACTATTGATCAGTCTATAGTCCAGACTATAGATCAGTCTATAGTCCAGACTTTAGATCAGTCTATAGTCCAGTCTATAGATCAGTCTATAGTCCAGACTATAAATCAGTCTATAGTCCAGACTATAGTTCAGTCTATAGTCCAGACTATAGATCAGTCTTTAGTCCAGACAATAGATCAGTGTATAGCCCAGACTAAAGATAATTCTATGTCCAGACTATAGATCAGTCTATAGTTCAGACTATAGATCAGTCTATAGTCCAGACTATAGATCAGTCTATAGTCCAGACTATAGATCAGCCTATAGTCCAGACTATTGGTCAGTCTATAGTCCAGACTATTGATCAGTATGTAGTCCAGACTATAGATCAGTCTATAGTCCAGACTATTGATCAGTCTATAGTCCAGACTATAGATCAGTCTATAATCCAGACTATAGATCAGTCTATAGTCCAGTCTGTGTATAGTACAGGCTACAGATCAGTATATAGTTCAGATTATAAATCAGTCTATAGTCCAGACTATAGATCAGTCTATAGTCCAGACTATAGATCAGTCTATAGTCCATACTATAGATCAGTCTATAGTCCAGACTGTAGATCAGTCCATAGTCCAGACTATAGATCAGTCTATAGTCCAGTCTATAGATCAGTCTATAGTCCAGACTATAAATCAGTCTATAGTCCAGACTATAGTTCAGTCTATAGTCCAGACTATAGATCAGTCTATAGTCCAGACAATAGATCAGTGTATAGCCCAGACTAAAGATCAGTCTATGTCCAGACTATAGATCAGTCTATAGTCCAGACTATAGATCAGTCAATAGTCCAGACTATAGATCAGTCTATAGTCCAGACTATAGATCAATCTATATTCCAGACTGTAGATTAGTCTATAGTCCAGACTATAGATAAGTCTATAGTCCAGACTGTAGATCAGTCTATAGTCCAGACTATAGATCAGTTACCTAAACTGTAGGTTAGTCTATAGTATAGATTTAAAATCAGTCTATAGTGCAGACTATAGATCCGACTATAGTCCAAACTATAGATCGGTCTTTAGTCTAAATGTCAGTCTTCAGATCTTTTTCGGGTCAGTTTGTAAATTAATCTATTGACCAGTCACTATAGGGAAGTTTATACTCCTATAATCCATGCTATTGGTCAGGCTGTTCTCTATATCGTTGATCAATCTATAGTCAAGATTATATATTAGCTTAAATAGCCCCGACTATATATGTTTCCCCCTATAGCGACTCTAGATTAATATATATTCCAAAATATACATATGTATAGCAGTAAATAGTCCTGGCTATGGATAATTCTGTAGTGCAGACTATAGAAAAACGTATTTTCCTAATGTTTAATAATTTCATGTAAAAATATATTTTCTTTATCCTGTTGATCATTTCCATGTCCTTGAATATTTTTTCCTACAAAACAAAACAATATGTTTTATTAATTTCAATTTTAATAATGTTATGAAAATATAAGTTTCTATTCATAAAAATACACAAAAATTAAAAACAAATCCTTACAAAACAAGTTAATATCCAAAAAAAGCAGACAACCTTTATGATGATAAAACAAAATGGCTAGCAGAACAGGACAAAGACAATAAATTTAAAAAGATATATACAATCAAATACCAGCATACATACATGTTTCTACACATGCATAATTTATGAATAACATTTGTCTAGTCTACATTATAAAGAATACTTTCCTTTGTTTTAGATTTCTTTAAGGACCACACATACACAATCAAAAAAGGATAAATTTATAACAATCAGTATTCACCCTAACACTCTCTCATACTCTTATTTTCAGTCCTTTAGTAAATTTATTGTCTGAAACAATAGACGATGACCCTTTTCTTTGGCAAATTTTTAATTTTTTTATATAAATATTTTGTATTTTATGACAAGATATTGTCTATAACCATGGTAATTACCATTTATATTTTCAAAAATATTTTATTTTTCTATGTTTTCATTTTTTAAATAAAAAAAAAAGATCCTATGACAAAGGTTGATTTGATTATGATTTTATTATTGTTATTTTAAAATTGTCTAAACATTTTGTATGCTGTAAATTGTTTTTAAGTTGTTCAACCCGAGCATAAAATGGGTCTCAATTGAAAACATATTTATTCAATGAAGTGGAACCTTTTTTCCATTTGTATTTTGGGAGTCCATAGTATTTGCATTTTTTGAGGCATTTCGACATTTTTATGTATAATTTTTAGTTTAAACTAAAAATTGTTAAAGATTTTTATGGAGAAATATATATATATATAATATCTGTGTAAAGTACAGAAAACAGATCAGTATATAGTTCTGACTATAGATCAGTCTATAGTCTAAACTATAGATCAGTCTACAGTCCAGACTATATATCAACCGTAGTACACACTATAGATCAGTCTATAGTCTACACTATAGATCAATCTATAGTCCATACTATAGATCAGTCTATAGTCCAGACTAAAGATCGATTTATAGTCCAGACTAAAGATTAGTCTATAGTCCATACTATATAACCGTCTATAGTCCAGACTATAGATCAGTATATAGTGCAGACTATAGATCAGTCTATATAGTATAAATCAGACTATATTGATCAGTCTATAGTCCACACTATAGATCAGTTTATAGTACAGACTATAAATCAGTTCATAGTGCAGACTATAGATCAGTTCATAGTGCAGACTATAGATCACTCTATAGTGAAGACTATATATCAGTCTACAGTCCAGACTATAGATCAATCAGTAGTCCACACTATAGATCAGTCTATAGTCTACACTATAGATCAATCTATAGTCAACACTATAGATCAGTCTATAGTCAACACTATGGACAAGTCTACAGTACGTACTATAGACCAGTCTACAGTCCATACTATAGATCAGTCTACAGTCCGGTCTATAGATCAGTCTATAGTCCATACCATAGATCAGTCTATAGTCCAGATTAGTCTATAGCGCAGACTATGGATCAGTCTATAGTGCAGACTAAGGATCAGTATATAGTGCTGATTATAGATCTGTCTATAGTACAGGGCATACGATATCGATCGAAATCTCCATTTATATTCTATTGAGATTTCGATCGATATCGTATGCCGTAATTTGACCCCAAATCAGTCCATAGTCCAGACTATAGAGCAGTCTATAGTGCAGATTATAGATCAGTCTATATAGTATAGATCAGTCTATAGTCCAGACTACAGATCAGTCTATAGTCCAGACTACTGATCAGTCTATAGTCCACACCATAGATCAGTCTATAATACAGACTATAGATCAGTTTATAGTGCAGACTATAAATAAGTCTATAGTGAAGACTATATACCAGTCTACAGTCCAGACTATAGATCAATCTGTAGCCCACACTATAGATTAATCTATAGTCAGCACTATAGATCAGTTTATAGTCAACACTATAGACTACAGTCCAGACTATAGATCAGTCTGTAGTCCACACTATAGATCAGTCTATAGTCCAGACTAAAGATCAGTCTATAGCGCAGACTATGAATCAGTCTGTAGAGCGGACTATAGATCAATATATAGATCAGTCTATAGTACAGATCAATATATAGTCCAGATCAATCTATAGTCCAGACTATAGATCAGTCTATAGTCCAGACTATATATAAGTCGTCAGCTTAGACTATTCATCACTCTATAATCCAAACTATAGATCACTCTATAATCGAATATATCAATCAGTCTATAGTCCAGACTATAGATCTGTCTATAGTCCAAACTATAGATCAGTCTATAGTCCAGATTATAGATTAGTCTATAGTCCACATTAAGATCAATCTATAGTTCAGATTATTGATTAGTCTATATTTAGATCAGCCTACTGTACATAGTATAAATCAGTCTATAGTACAGACTATAGATCAGTGTATATTGCTGACTTTAAATCAGTCTAAATTCTGGAATATAGAGCAGTCTATAAGCTATATATCAATCAATTGTACAGACTTTATATCAATCTATGTCTAGACTATCGATCAGTATATAGTCTGGACTATAGAAGAGTATATAGTAAAGACTATTTATCATCAATCAGTTTATAGACCAGATTATAGATCAGTTCAAAGTTGGACCTACATACATATATATTTTAGTTTAAATGGTAATGTAATCATTTAGTAGATTTATAGTGTTTACTATGTCTAGTAATTTTACTACATTTACTAGACTATTAACTACATCTACTGTTGCTTAATTAAAAAAAAAAATTCTAATTATTAGCAAATAATAAGTACAACAGTTTTATCAAAACTTATTACAATTAGCGCTTTTGTTGTTATTAATTTATATAAAGCTTTTTTTTTAAGAAAACATTTTTCAACTGTTTAATATTTCTTGCTTTAGTTTTGTAAATTATTTTCTATTTAGCAACATAACAAAAAAAGGAGCTTTTTAGACACTCTTTTTACACTTTATTACTTACAATGTTAAATACGTTGGATTCTTTTGCTCACTTCCTTATAATGTGTTTATTTGTTAATGTTTTTGTTAAATTTTCTTTTTTTCACACAAAATTTGGTTTCTACAAATTATATATTTTTTACTATTTATATTATTTTGTAGGAGTCTCTTACAATATATTGATGAGGAACTAAAATTAAGGTAACTACAATAAACTACTACTTAAGTACTAGTGCTATCAAAAAAACTTAACAACAACAACAAATACCAAATACTTTTACCCCCCTCAAAAAAATATAAACAACATACTACTACAACAACAACATGTTTCTAAAATTTATACAAAATTTCACAAACCCCTTACACTTACAGACCCCCAGCCCGATTTTCTGTTTTACTTAGTTATTGACCTAAAATATAGTAGTAATTACAAATATGGCTTGTTTTGTATGTTTAGTACTTTTTACTTTCTCTAAACCCTTTTAAATAAAATGTGTTGTTTAAACTCCTTACCTTTACCCCCCTCATGTCATTAATATGTTGGAAATAATAATTGATCATTATGCATACTTCTCATTTGTTATAACATCATTTCATTCATTTCTACAAAAAAAAAAAAATCATTCTTTCAAAATTTCCCCTTTCATTTCTGTACTTTTGTAGCAGATTTTTTTAAATTTTGTCTTATTTTAGTTCACTCACTCATGTTCCTGTCACAAATCATCAATACTTATTTCTCTATGTGTATATATTTTATGTTTTAATTTTATTTGTTTATGTGTCCACTTGTATGTCCTCAAATTGCTAATTTGGTTGATGGTAACAGGGTATAAAAAAAACTGTATATATGTATATTTATAAATGGCTTTTGAATTAATTAGTTATGGGAATTTAATAGCAATTTTATGCGATATTAACGGTATGATACGAAAAATAATGGGAAAAAATCAATAGTTTATGTCCGTATACATATTTTGTGTTCACATTATATAAATTTTTGAAAATGACATAATAATAGATCAATCTATAGTCCAGACTATACATCAGTATATAGTTCAGACTATATATCAGTATATAGTCCATACTATCAGTCTGTAGTCCAGACTATAGATCAGTCTATAGTCCAGACTATAGATCAGTCTACAGTCCAGACTATAGATCAGTCTACAGTCCAGACTATAGTCCAGACTATAGATCAGTCTATAATCGAGACTATAGGTAAGTCCAGACTATATATAAGTCTATAATCCAGACTATATATAAGTCTATTGTCCAGACTATAGGCGAGTCTAAAGTCCAGACAATAGTTGAGTCTATAGTCCAGACTATAGCTGAGTCTATAATCCAGACTATAGGTAAGTCTATAGTCCAAACTATAGGTAGGTCTATAATCCAGACTATAGGTAAGTCTGTAATCCAGATTATAGGGGAGTCTATAGTCCAGATTATAATGTAGTCTAAAGTCCAGACTATAAGTGAGTCATTAGTCCAGACTATAGGTAAGTCTATAGTCCAGATTATTGATCAGACCATAGTCTAGACTACAGATCAGAATATAGTCCAGACTATAGGTCAGTCTACAGTCCAAACTATATTTCAGTCTGTAGTCCAGACTATAGGTGAGTCTATAGTCCAGACTTTAGGTGAGTCTATAGTGCAGACTATAGGTGAGTCTATAGTCCAGACTATAGGTGAGTCTATAGTCCAGACAGTAGGTGAGTCTATAGTTCAGACTATAGGTGAGTCTATAGTCCAGACTATAGGTGAGTCTATAGTCCAGACTATAGGTGAGTCTATAGTCCAGACTATAGGTGAGTCTGTAGTCCAGACTATAGGTGAGTCTATAGTCCAGACTATAGGTGAGTCTATAGTCCAGACTATAGGTGAGTCTAAAGTCCAGACTATACGTAAGTCTATAGTCCAGGTTATAGGGGAGTCTATAGTCCAGACTTTTGATCAGACCATAGTCCAGACTATAGATCATACCATAGTCCAGACTACAGATCAGACTATAGTCCAGACTGTAGATCAGAATATAGTCCAGACTATAGTTCAGACTATAGATCAGACTTTAGTTCAGACTGTAGATTTTACTATAAACCGGACTATAAACCAGACTATAGTCTAGCCATTGTATCAGTCTTTAGTCTAGACTATGGATCAGACTTTAGTGTAGACTATAGTTCGAACAATTGTTTCGAATATAGTGTAGAGTATGAAATAGACCACAGTTTTGACTAGTCCAGGCAATTGTTCAGACTAGTAAATTGTTCGGACTATAGTAACGTAATTGTTCAGACCATAGTCAGTAGTAGAAGAAAAGTTCAGATTACAGTCCATTCTATAGATCAGACTGTAGTGAGATTATAGTCCAGACTATAGGTCAGATAATAGTCCATTCTGTAGATCAGACTATAGGCCAGGCTATAGGTCAGGCTACAGGTCAGACTATAGTACAGACTATAGGTCAGACTATAGAATAGACTATAGTCCAGACTACTGATCAGGCTATAGTTCAGACTATAGATCAGACACAAGCCTAGACTATAGTTCAGACAATAATTTCGACTATAGGTCAAACAATAATACAAACTATTGTTTAATCTATAGTCTAGTGTATAGTTCTATCTATAGTCTAGTGTATAGTTCTAGATATAGTCTAGTCTGCAGTTCAGACTTTACTCACGACAACATTTCAGACTTTTGTCAAGTCTATACTCCAGACTATAATTCAGAAAATAGTCTGGACTATAGATCATACAATAAAAAAGACATTTGTTTAGAATAGTGTAGCAAAAAATATACTTCAAAATATTGTCTGGACTATAGTTCAGATTATTGTTAAGACTAATCTGTAGTTCAGACTATACTACATATTGTAGTCCAGTCTATAGTTGAAGCTATAATTCGGTCTATTGTTCAGAATATAGTATATTTTATTATCTGAACTATATTTATGGTTTATAGTCCAGACTAGTTAATAGTTCAGACAAGAATGGTGACTAAAGTTTAGCTTACAGTTTATATAATGGTCTAGTCTAGATAAAACTATTCTTATCTATAGTTCAGTTCTAATCTATAGCTAAGTTCTAATCTATAGTGCAGTCTATAGTTCAGACTATAACCTAATATATACATCCGATTCTTGTTTATAGTTCTGAATGTAATCTAGTCAGATTATAGTTTTATCTCTAAATGAGATTTAAGTTCAAAATTTTTGTCACATTTCTGTTGTCAGACTACAGTCATGGCTATAGTTCAGGTCTAGTCTTTAACTTACACTTATTGTTTAATCTATACTTCATACAAAAGCCTAGTCTATAGTTCAGACTGTTAACTAGTCTATAAAATAGACTCTAATATATATGTATGTAGTTCAGACTATTGTCTAGTCTAAAGTTTGAGAAACCCGATATCTCTTGTACTCCACTCTTACCTAGTCTATATAATGGACTCTATTATATAGTTCAGACTGTTGTCAAGTCTAAAGTTCGAGAAACCCGATATCTGTTGTACTGCAAATAGCTTGATCTAATATTTCTTAAAAAATATTTTATCCCAAAACAGTTGCAACTTTCTGATTCTCATAGATATTGTCCTTATTGCTTTACTAAATGAAAGTAATTTCATAATAATTTTTAATAAAACATTCATTCTTTGGCAGAAGTATTGATATCTATCCTATAATTTATAACTAAAATGTCATATCATGTCATTTTAGTAACTCAATTAACTACAATTACAAAATCGACATAATTTTACATTTAGCCTAGACTACAACCTTGTAAGAACTACATACAGTTCATTTTCAGTTCATGTCATAAAACATATCTTCAAGCTGTTAAATTAATTATGCCAATTTTGCTTTTGTGTTGTTGTAATGTTCAAAAAAGAAAAATTTACATTAAATACTTGTTTTTTCCTGGAAAAAAATTTTAAACCAATTTATTTATTTTTTTCAAATTTCACTTTTCCTCTTTAGTCATTCTCTAATATCAAGTTAAATTACCAAAACTCTAGGAAAAAAACAGAGAAAAACAACAAATGCAATGAGAAAAAATGTCTGACAAGATTTTTACATTTGCAACATTACGACTTAAAAAGTAGATTCTAAGTATTTTTTTTTTGGAATTTTGCATCTATTCATTCCACCCCACTTTTCTTCTATGGCTCTTGAGTACTTGTTCAAAAAAAAAAATTTCCGTTTTTTTTCAAGCATCAAACATTATTTAAAGTCCATTTGCATGCAACAAAGGATATATACGTTATTTTTTTCACATTTTTTATAATTTTTTGCATTTCTTTTACTGTATGTTGCATTAAATAATGTATTTTTGTTATTCTGTTGTTCTACATTTTGTTTGCAACATATTTATTTTTTTCTTTTACTATTTTTCACACAATTAATTTTCTTTCTGTTGTTTTGTTTTCTAAGAATTTTTGTAAGTTTTTGTTAGTTTCATTTCAGTTTTTTTTTCTAACCATAATTATGCAAACTTTTACAATTGTAAATCGTAAAAGAAAATGCTATTATAAGAATAAAATATAATAAAGTTTTCTTGTTTTATTTTTCTTTTTGTTATTTTAGTCTAAAAATCCAATTTGTACTTAAGACTCTATTTTAAATTAAGTTTTCGCTTCTTTTTTTTGCTCTGCTTCTCCTTGTGGTTGCAAATAAAAATAACTTAGTACAAGACTTTGTAAGAAAAATATAAAAGAGGGTAGTAATAACTAAATGAATTTAGGGGTTGTTGTACCCGGGAAATAGGGTGAGATGATAAAAACATGGCGAATATTTTAAAACAGATTTCCAATTATGAAAATGTCAGTAGTTTTAGAAGATAATTGGGGTTATTCATATACCATTATATGTAATCAACTATAAACTATAAGAAAGCTTAAAGCTTTTGCTAAAGTTTACTCTATGTAAAAGTTTGCAACTTTAGGGAAAGGTTTGCTCTATGGGAAAGCTTGCAACTATAGCAAAAGTTTCAACTATAGGATAGCTTGAAACAGTTTCAGATATAGCAACCACCTTAAAGCTAGACTATAGACTATACTGTAGACTAGACTATAGACTAAACCACAGAATAGACTATAGACTAGACTACATTTTTTTAGACCAGACTATATACATGACTATAGACTAGACTATAGAATAGACTATAGACTAGACTATAGACTAGACTATAGACTAGACTATAGACTACACTATAAACTAGACTATAGACTAAACTATAGACTAGACTATAAACTAGACTATAGACTAGACTATAGACTAGACTATAGACTAGACTAGACTATAGACTAGACTATAGACTAGACTATAGACTAGACTATAGACTAGACTAGACTAGACTATAGACTAGATTATAGACTAGACTATAGACTAGATTATAGACTAGACTATAGACTAGACTATAGACTAGACTATAGACTAGATTATAGACTAGACTATAGACTAGACTATAGACTAGACTATAGACTAGACTATAGACTAGACTATAGACTAGACTATAGACCAGACTATAGACTAGACTATAGACTAGACTATAGACTAGACTATAGACTAGACTATAGACTAGACTATAGACTAGACTATAGACCGGACTATAGACTAGACTATAGACTAGACTATAGACTAGACTATAGGCTGGACTATAGGCTGGACTGTAGACTAGACTATTGACTAGACTATAGACTTGACTATAGACTTGAGTATAGACTAGACTAAAGACTAGACTATAGACAAGACTATAGACCAGACTAGACTTTAGACTAGACTATAGACGACTATAAACTAGACTATAGACTTGACTATAGACTAGACTATAGACTAGACTATAGACTAGACCATAGGCTAGACTATAGACTAGACTATAGACTAGACTATAGACTACACTATAGACTCGACTATAGACTAGACTATAGACTACACTATAGACTAGACTATAGACTAGACTATAGACTAGACTATAGATTAGACTATAGACTAGACTATAGACTAGACTATAGACTAGACTATAGACTAGACTATAGACTAGACTATAGACTAGACTATAGACTAGACTATAGACTAGACTATAGACTTAACTTCAGAATGGACTATATAATGGACTATAGACTAGACTTTAGAATGGACTAGACTGTAGACTAGACTATAGACTGGACCATAGACTGGACCATAGACTGGACCATAGACTGGACCATAGACTAGACTATAGACTAAACTATAGACTAAACTATAGACTAGACTATAGACTAAACTATAGACTTTACTATAAAGTCGACTATAGTCATATATGTAATACAGACTATAGTCTAATCTATAATCCAAAGGTTTTCTCAGTTGAAAAGCTGAAAGAAGTTTGCCAAAAGTTTCTTGCGTAGGAAAGCTTTACAGCCTGTTTTTCTAAAACAATTTAGTTCTCACACGAATATTTCATTTTATTACGATCAAGTTTAAAATTAGGTTTTTATAAAACATTTGAAAGTTTTCGTTTAAAAATGTCTAAAATGAAATGAGCTTTTTCTATCGTAACAGAACATTATTGCCAACGTATTTCATTTCTGAATTTTTAAATATTTTTTCATGTAGTAATAAGGTGTTTGGTGTTAACCCTAAAAAATAAACAAAAATAAAATAATTTTAGAAAAAAATTGAAATTATGAAAAAATGTTTTTTTAAAAACAACATGAAAATTGTATGCAATGTCTCAAGAAATTTAAAGGTTTGTATTGCGAATTACATTCTGGTTCAAATGGCCACATATTATTACGTATTTTGGTAAAATTTTCGTTGTTTTTTGGGCAAACGAAAGGCCTTTGCCTATCGTCTATTTCTGACATTTCTTTCGTTTATTACGAACGAATTCATTTTCTAAAAACCAAAAATATATGGAAAAATAAAGCTCTTTCGTTGTCACTCACATGAAAATTTATTTTTTCGTTACAAAAACGTAAAGCCAATTTCGTTCGTTATTTTTAAGAACGAAGACAAATTTTCATTTTAGAAAAACAAGCTGTTAGCCTCTAGGTTTTTTCTTGCTGATAAATAAACCATACTTGGCTCATAACTTAAAACTAAAGCATATTTCGAGGGATATTGTAATAAGTTCTTTTAAAGTTTTTGAACTTTTAGTTAAAGATATTACAGCCTGTTTTTCTAAAATGAAAATTTGCCTTCGTTCTTAAAAATAACGAACGAAATTGGCTTTACGTTTTTGTAACGAAAAAATAAATTTTCATGTGAGTGTCAACGAAAGAGCTTTATTTTTCCATATATTTTTGGTTTTTAGAAAATGAATTCGTTCGTAATAAACGAAAGAAATGTCAGAAATAGACGATAGGCAAAGGCCTTTCGTTTGCGCAAAAAACAACGAAAATTATACCAAAATACGAAATAATATGTTGCCACTTGAACCTGAATGCAATTTGCAATAAAAACCTTTAAATTTCTTGAGAGATTGCATACAATTTTCATGTTGTTTTTAAAAAAACATTTTTTCATAATTTAAATTTTTTTTGTAAAATTATTTTATTTTTGTTTATTTTTTAGGGTTAACACCAAACACGTTATTACTACATGAAAAAATATTTAAAATTTCAGAAATGAAATACGTAGGCAATAATGTTCTGTTACGATAGAAAAAGCTCATTTCATTTTAGACATTTTTAAACGAAAACTTTCAAATGTTTTATAAAAACCTAATTTTAAACTTGATCGTAATAAAATGAAATGTTCGTTTGAGAACTAAATTGTTTTAGAAAAACAGGCTGTTAGTTTCTTATTCATTTATATATTTTATTTTCGTTTATGTTTTTCTAAGTAGTTAGAAAAAAGTGCATAAATATAAGCAACAAATTACTAACAACACAATTTGCATAAAATCATACAACATGTAGTACTAACGATTACATAGAAAATGTATGTTGTCATTAACAACATCAACATCATGATCATCATCATAAACAACGGCAATGTTATTATAGTATAATACATTTTAAAACTATAATATAAGAAAATATAAAAACTACCATTAAGTCAATGTGTGTAAGTGCAAAAAGCTTATAAATACATGACACATACTAACTGTTATATTAGCAAGTTAATAGTAAATGTTTTAAACTAAACAGATTTTTAAAGGTATAAGTTGTTAAATATTATTTTAACACTATAATGGAAAATATTATTTTAAAGCTCTGTGTTAAAGTAACTAGTCATTCTTAAACACATACATATACACACAAACATATTTGCATTGTATATTACACTAACATAAAACATTCATTTTCCTGGCCTTAATTGTCCTTGTGGTCTTTCATGTAAATCTTTTAAATTATAACTAACACATGTTAACGAAGTATACTAAAAATGCATATATGTATATACAGCTACACCTACTCGTTCTTTTAACAGGCAACACAAACACACACTCTCACACATAGCCATACACCCACTTGCTCCTCCAAAATACATACAAACTAAACCAGTTCGAATACAAGCAAACAACCTTAAACTCTTTTAACCCAACAGAAAACCAGCCAATACAAATCTTTTTTGGTTTTGGTTCCTTTGTATGCATGGATTTGTTAGTGTTCGTAGGTGTATGTGTTTGTTTGTTTGCCTATGTACGTGAGGGTATGTGGTTGTGTAAGTGTATGTGAGAGTTTCTGTTTCAATTTTTGTTTATTTTCCTTTTATTATTTTCCTGTTTTGTTGTTATTGTACATTACTAAATAAACGTATCCGTTCAGTGATACGTTGGTTCTTAAAATGTCATTCACATGCATTGTGTTAAATATTTGTACAGGGATTCTCAATCGGTTTCATATTTTCAGAGGAGACCTTTACGGAATGGAAGTAGAGCAGTTGTATCTGCCCTAGACTCCATGTTTTGTAGTTAGATACAAAAAGCTTTAGGAAAGGACTTCCTGTTTAAGAAAACTCCAATGTTTATAGCGAAAGCTTTAGCCTCTTGGAAAGCTTAGAAGGTAATAAGAAAGCTAGAATCTTTAGCGAATAGTTCTATAATTGAAAGCTTAAAGTTTCAGCGAATGCTGTGCTGTAAAGGAAAGCTTGAATGTTTAGCAAAAATTTTGATCTGTAGGAAAGCTTAAAGCTTAAAGCAAAATGTTTCTTTAAGCTTGAAGGTCTATCAAAAGTATTCTAGTATAGGAAAGCTGAAAGCTTTAGCCAAATGTTTCCTTTATAGGAAATGTTAAAGTTTTCCGTTATAGAAAATCGTTAACTTCAGCGTAAAGTTTTCTTGAAAGCTTTAGCAAAACAGGTTTTCTTTAGGAAAGCTTAAAGCTTTACCTTAAAGTTACATATATATAAAAACTTTAGCAATAGCTTTTTTACTGTTTAGGAATGCTTAAATCTTTAGGCAAAGGTTTTCTGTACATGAAAGCTTGATTCTTTAGCGAAAGATTTTCTCTTTAGGAAAACTAGAAGCTTTATTTATCTTGAAGCTTTAGCGACAAAATAAAATATAAAAAATCTAAAATATAATAATCTAAAAGCTTTAGACAAGAGTTTTCTCTATAGGAAAGCTTTTGTGAAAAGTTACTTCTATATGAAAGCTTGAAGATTTATCGTATGGTTTCCTATATAGAAAACTTCAACCAAAAAGCTTGAAGCTTTTGTGTAAAGTTACCTCTTTACGAAAACTTGAAGCCTTAGAGAAAGGTTTCTTATATAGGAAAACCTTAGCAAAAGGTTCCCTCTACAGAAAAGATTTAATTTTTACGGAAAGTTTTCTCTACAGAAAAGCTTGATGCTTTAGCAAAAGACTTGATGCTTAAAAGTTACATCGCGGATTCATTAATCTTCTTAATTCCCAAACTCTCACCCCTGTACAAAATTCTCTCTCCCGCAAAAGCTTTACATAACTTTCGAAGTATATTTCTTTTTCAACGTAACGATTGAGAATCCCTGTAGCCTCCTCCTCTACCTCTAATCATTACATAGTTTTTTTGTTGCAACGTTTTTTCTTTTTCTCTTTTTTCTTTCCGTTGCTTTTGCAGAGCCACTTTGCCATTAACTGATACCAAAGATTTACTAAGCACTGAATGCAATTGTAGCCATAATGGTGGAGGAAATAGTAACCATAACAACACATCATCATCATCAACATCAGCCGTCGCATCATCAGCAGCA